TAAGATGAATAAGCAATGATAAAATACATTCTCCTATAAAAGACATTGATGAGTATTCTAATCTTGTCAATACAAAATTGGAATAAATCTTTTGCAATCAATACCGAGGCATCAAATATTATTGTATCATGTAATTTGAGCCAAATAAATGGTAAAAATCATAATTATTCAATTCTTGATGCTTGTAGACAAATGATACAACAAGAAAAGAACTATTAAGTAAGAGAAAGAGAAGCTTTGCAAATAATTTTTTGACTCAAGAAGTGTCAACGCAATCTTTTATTTTCAAAATTCATTATTGCAACTAATTAGAAGGTCTTTCAATACATTTTCAACACATCTAATGTTCAAAAATATGATAGCTAGATGAAAATCATTACAAGCCGAGGTTGATCATATTTATAAAAGATGGTTCTGGCAAGAAACATGCTAATGCAGATTTATGTTTTGAGCATCAGATGAGTAGAGATGAATAGATGAATAATACCTGTTTGACTGATGGTTTGTTAGTCATGTATACTGTGATGACACCACATTTCAATATTCATGAATTTTCAAGGAGATTTGAAAATATTTTTTAGATGAAAATCTTTTCCATTCATGCATTCAAGAGAAAAAAAAGCATTGATAAAAAAAATTTACAACAATATATGAATCTGAAAAAGATACTGTGTTATCAACTGACATTGTTATAATAGAAGTTTGGAAAGAAAAATCAATACAATTTATTAAAGTGTTCTACAAAGGTTTGATATGTGGAGCATATTTTGGAGGGATGATATTTTCTTTCAAGATTCCTAACATTGATTATGATTTGTATAATATTTCCAAAAGTTATGTGAAATCTGAAAACGTTGTGATATGTGTTAAAATTATGATAAAAATTCTATGAAATTATAATCTTAACAAATCAATTATAGATTTTATAGGTACTTTGCATTTTAAAAAAAAATTAAGTTCATTTTGATAACACGACAATGGATTCAAAACTCAAAATGGAAATTCATTCAAGGAAGTTGCTTAATTGAAGCTTACAATAAAATTTGATGCAAGAGGATTAAAAAAAATGTTACTCATATTTTGGCTTTTAAAAAGTAAAAGATATATAAAATCTTCACTTATGACATCAAAGAGTTATAAATACAACACTTTGATAATGTAGTACAACACAACTTGTTGAAGATGTTTCATCAAATATGAGAATTTTTTGCTCCGAGTTTGTGATGAAATCCTGATTTGGAGATAATGTAAATCCGTAGCTGTATGAGTGTACAAGTGGTAAATCATAGTAAAATAGTTTTAAAAATAATTTTAGTTATGATTAAATTTAGCCATCAAGTCTATACTTGAATGCATAACTACAGTTCTTCTAGAAGTTGTGGATGAATGCCAATAATTTGTTTTTTATCAAAGTTTAGATTCTAATTAAGGACGATTTTGACTACATATTAAATCTGATTGGTTTGACTAAATATTAAAATTTTCATTGACTGAACCAAATCTAAAGTTTGACCTAGTGGCAAGTTGAGTTTGTAGAAGTTTCAACATCTCTCATGACATGTTGTCACCTTAAGTTATTAATAAAGAAGCATATTTAGGTTTAGATTAACCAATGGCTTGTTGCCATGTGATATTCTTTAAAAAAGTTACTCAAACATATCAAAATTAAGTTTTTTTGAAAGTAAATTTGATAATAGTTTTTGTGAGTTATCATGGTCATTTTCTATAAATTATAAATGGAGAAATAGAGAATAATCTATCAAGCAAGTTTAGGAAGATCTTTCTTCAAGATTTTGTTTCAACAATGAGAATATTTGATTTACATAATATCCTGGAATGTCAATAAGAATTGATGTTGAGCAATGGATGTAGGGATTATGTGGAAGAATGTTTTACAAAAGAGCATGTAGATGGAAAAGAAGTTTCTAAAAATATAATGAACTATTTAAAAATCATCTGAGATAAATTGAAGTGAAAGTCAACTAAAATATCATATACGAAAAGATTTTCTATTTTGCCACCACAAACTACAGTTCACTATATGTATCCACTCCAACACCTTTCTTGATCTTACTAAATTACACAAAACAGATCATCGATTCTCCCACCTTTCTAAAATACACATCTCTTAAAACTAACAATCATCTTTAGGATTCAAAACTGAAAGCTTGATTGCAACAGCACGTGGAACTCAACCTTGTCAGTAATGTCAATGTAGTGCTAACGATTTAGTTCCCCCACGAGGGAAAATCTCTGTGTGTTCCATAGTAATCTCACCAAATCTAGTCCAATCCAGGTAGTCCCGACCCATTATATTTTACAACTCCACAACAATGCCTTCCGCCGCCGGTGAAAGAATAAACAGCTGAACATCTTGGTAAAGCTTCTTGTTACATTCCGAAAATGTAACAAATACCTCCATGCTTTGATACCAATTGTCACAAGAATAGTTGAAATGCACTAACACGCACATCCAATATAAAAACTCACATGTATAGTCGACATTCTTCATTATGGACATATATGGTTCATCACTACAAACTACATCCACGTTAACAGCTCAAGCTTTACTAAAAAAAGTTATCACGAGCTTTTGTAAGCTCTTTTCCTAATATAATTTCAGTCTAATAAACTGGGGTTAAACTATTCATAAAGATCTGAGTTAGCTTCTAACACTATCAACGGTTTGTTTTTTTTAAATTTAACAAATTTTTAAATGTCTTATTATTATACACATCTTTGGAATTTGAATCCTTTATGAAACAAACATTATTTTGAAAATAAAATTATATAGTGTCTAATTTCCTTAATTTTTAAATACGTTTGATTTAAGAGTGATATATCATTGTTTTATCGACTTATCAATAAAAATTTATCTGAAATCATATAAATAAAAAAACAATAACACAAGAGCTATTTCTTTCAATTGAATATTCAAGTTTTCAAAGAAAATATTTTGTATCAATTTGGTATATGTTTCTTGTCATGCTTTAACTTTTCAAAATGTGTTATAATCCTTCAATCCTGCTGTTTTTCACATTAAATTATAATATTGATGGCTCTACTTTGCTACTTTTTTTTAAAACAGGTCAAAAACTTCAGTACACAACGTCATACATGTTTACATTTTGTCATTTTTTGAAACTTTTGAGGGTGTAGTGGGGAATCTGGGACAATGGGCGAAAGCCCAATCTAGCAATATGGGCTGAGTCAATAATGCACTTCAGCTTGTAAAGCTCTTTCATTGAGTTGATCATTTTCATTTCCCATTTTCCGTTGATCAAGTCTAAGTTGCATATTTTAGACAACCTCAACATTTACTCTTCGTATTGAACTCTTATGAAAGTTGGCACCTAAAGCCTCAAAAAAGACTCAGGTATTCTTCAAAAAGATCGAAAAATGTATTGGATATTCATGATATATCCCCTTCAAAAAAATAGCTTTATAACTACATTTCGGCCTCTTAGTCTTGGTTGCCCAATAACTTAGACCTTTGTTAGATGAGACGACCCCTTTGGGCTATGAATACTTTGCCGATAGATCTTAGAAAGTAAGCAAGTTTCTGCTATCTTGATTATCTTTGAAATTTTATTCAGGCTTCCTTCTCCAACTGACTTCAAATCTTTGCCAGAGCATCTTATCCTATTTCTCGCATTATGATTGAAAAGAGTACGGTTTATCTCATCATGATAGGCATTAGGACAAGAGAAATATTTACATTCAATGTTTTTGCTAGTGCTAACCCTAGTTTTTTCTTTTTGCAGCTTAGGTGTTGGTGATCTTCACCAGTGAAACATGAGGATCGCTATATTGCTCCTATCCCATCCTTGAGACACTAGGATGCGTAATGTATTCCATAACATTCATTTTACTTCATTTTTATCTGATACCATGATGACCAGTCTAGTTTACGATATTCTAGTTGGCATGGATAACACAATTAGTATGGATAACTAAATGAATTTACGAGTTATATATATATATATATATATATATATAAAGTTGTATTTCTTTCGTTCATAATCGTTCTGAAAAGACATGTTTATCATATCAGACAGTTCATAATAGGTTCATGAAATTTCCATAGTCTCAACAATTATGGTTGGGACTATGGACTTTAGACAAGAAAAATATCTTCAGGAAGAGAAGGGCCGAGTGGTCCTCATGAATTGGTCTAATGTGAATGCCTTACCGTATGATCCTCACTTATGTATGTTCTTACAACCAGGTAAAGAACAAGACTTAAAGATTACAGAAAGTGTATGAAACTATTACAACCCAGAAAGCCCCTATTGTTGGAACCCCCAAGATAGTTATTTAGAGGACAATAGAGTTAAATTTGGACACACGAAGATCGCATTGGAACTCGAGGACAATGCATATCCATCCGGGGTAGAGTAGAATGCTGGCAACATCTGCATCAAGATGGATATGGCGGAGGGAGGGAGAAGGAGAGGGAGAAAGAATCGGTTCAAGGACCTACAACACAGAGTAGCAGCATCGGGTTTGACAGCGTCAGCAGTTGAAGAGCAGAAGATATTTGAGAATTGTGAGATGGTGCCCGTTACCCGCCCTGTTCTACAGATTCCAGACATGCATGCAAAAGCGTACGACGAAAAAATCGCACTTCCACTGGATCAGTCAGTGATTGATTGATCATTTGCAAAAGAACGACTAGGTGGCCTTTAGCGGCGGGCATGTGGGATGTGCGCGCAAAACGATAAATCGTCTGACACAGGTTCACGAGCTACGAGTCCGCGTCAGCAGTAGCTCAGACACACGAGGGCATGGCACCACCGTTCGTTATCTGTCCGTGCCTCGCTCACTTCTAGCAGCCGTAGAGTAGCGGAGCAGCAGGAGGGCTCGCAGACCCTCCTGCTGGATGTTGGCCATGAACAAATCGTCGACAACATTCACTGGCGATCAATCATGAAAGGAGGTGATGAAGTCTGAAGCATGCAAGGCCGTCCACGCTGATAATTGGGCTATCACTTCGGATAATTCCATTGGATGGCCAAGCACATTAACAACTGGGCGGCAACTGAGAGTGTCAGAGTGAACGCTTTGCGCCGAATAATGGACATCATATAAACTTCATGGAGGTCGAGACTGGGTACTGTACCAAAGTGAGCACACACCGAAGGGGTAGAAATTCTTCGCTACGCTAAACTAGACTAAAGCTAAGTGCCTGCTTAAAAAAATTGGATCCGTGCTACAAAAAATTGCCTCGTTCGTAGAATGAAACTGCATACGCTTGTGGAACATGCGTATGCAATTAAGGTCAGCTATCTGCTACTACTCCTCCAGTCACAGCGTGGAGTGCCAGGTCTAATCCTGTTCTTCCTGATCTCCTGTTCTTCCTCCGTCACTCATGGAGTGAGTTGGAGTATATTCTGCCCGTTTCTTACAGCAGGCAGCATTGGTCCACGGGCTCCTGGCCCCGCCTCCTCCTCCTCGCCCACCTGCGGTCAGTATCTGTACAATTTGGCCACATTCAAATCGCCGGGCATCTCTTTTTCGCAAAGACGATTTCTCGAGTTGGGCAGAAGAGCGAGGGGAATCTTTGCCTGTCTCTGCGGAGGAGAGCAAAGCACCACTGTAGCGTTGCAGTCAGAGCGCAGAGAGACAGAGATGAGGGGAGACGAGGCCGGATGAGATAAGATGAGATTCGATGCGATGCGATGCGGTGGGATGGGATGGATCACGGATGAGAGATGTGATGACAGGAGGCGAAATGAACTCTCCAGATCTATCGATCGAGAAGATGAAGGTCGGAGGAGGTCAGCAGCTGCAGAAAGAAGGGCAGATCGAGGATCCCGCGCGTGGGTAACATCATTCTACTCCTACAGGTTTACCTGTCCTTCACTTTCTGAGACTTTCCAGGAGCCATCTCATCGTACTAACTACACACTAACTCACTCACTCCCGCCCTCCCTAGATCCCTCCCTCACATGCATACAAACGCACGCAACCTCTCTCTCTCTCTGTGGTAGTTTTACATCTTCCAATAAGTAGTACTACCCCCACCAACTACCAGCTATAAAGGTTTGAGGTTCTGTTTAATAGTGTTACAATCCCGGAGTGGCCAGTGATCTAACAGGAGGCTTTTCTCTCTCGTTCTCTCTCCCTCTCTGTGGCCACCGTTGTGTTGTTGTAGTACCCGTGGAAACTTTCGGTGGGTGATGTCAGACTAAACTTTCTCTCAGAAAACTCTGACAGATGGCAGGTCGATAGTAACTAATCTCTCGCCTAGATCTCTCCGTCCCTGGAAATCTATCTAATCACTGCAGTGCTCTCTCTCTCTCTCTCTCTCTCGCTCTCGCTCGTTGGTTCGTTCGTTCGTGTGTGATCGGTCATTCGGTGTCCATGGGGCGTCATCAGGTAATTTGTCTGTTCTTGGCTACGCGGATGGCATGAAAGCCCATTGCGTTCTCCCCATTTGCTTAAGGATCTGAGATACGAAATATTACAATATCAGGGTGGTCACGCGTCGCCGGCTCGGCTCATAGGTCGTGGACAAAAATGGGCAAGCCCTTCTTCATCCCAGGTTCCGGAAAGAACCTTGGGGCATCCTCCTCAGCCAGCTCCCAGGTCCTGCACACCATTCATCCACTACCCTTTTCAGTTGTTGTCCGTGTCCAGTTCACCACCAGCACCTTCCTCCGCCAAGCGATGCGGTAAGAGCCAACGAACCAGCGAACAAACCTACCGAAAACACGACTGAACAAGACAAATCAACATTGCTGCTGCGTGTGCGTTCGGCCGTCGATTTACCTGTACATGGTGACAAGGCAATGGACGAAGATGGACAGCTCCATGCGCGCCAGGTCCATGCCCACGCACAGTCTCGGTCCCAAACCAAAGGGAATGAAGTTGTTGGTGCTGGCCTTGCCCTGCCATCACAAACAACAAGCGATGCGATCACACATGTTCTCAGACCTCCCCGATCTCTATTTGCCCTACAAGCGACCGAGCCATGCTCGAGTTCCGACATGGAATGAAACAAAAGTGCTGCTCACGTGGCATCCACGATGCATGTACGGTCGATTGCGTCAGCTTCAGGAGGGAAGAGAGAGAGAGGGAGAGAGAGAGAGAACGCACCTTCCACCGATCTACATCGAAATTGTACGGTTGTGGATACAGATCGGGATCGGTGTGAAGAGATCGGAGCCAGACTTGCACGGGAGAATTTGCAGGAACCATGCGGCCTGCAATGCATTAAGTGATGCAATCAGCAGTCTATTAAGATCCCGACGTTTAAAACCCTCATCGTCTTGTGACTAGAACTACAAGTTCCATATATACAGCTGATTGAAATTACTGTATCGTATGTTCGAAAAGGAAATCCTGCGAGCATAGAGAATGCACAGACTGTTCGCAGACTGTTGCAAGGGTCCATACCATTGTATTCTACATCTTGTAATGTTCTCCTGTGCAACGAAAGTACGGGATTAGCAAGCCGCAGAGTCTCGTTGATTGTTGATTGCGTGAGCTTCATTCTCTTGTAATCACTGTAAGAAAGTGGTTCGTCGGCTGGTTTGTCTTTCAGTATCTCCTGGTGCTCTACCTGCCATATCGGTATACTTTGCTGTTAGTCCAGGATCCTACCTCTTTCATTTCTATCTTTACAAATGTTACAAATAGTCCATGGAGTAGGTTCGCATCATTATTTTCAGTCGGAGAGAGGAAAAGCAGATCCTAACCTTGAGGTCATGAAGAACCTGCGGGTGCTGGCCAATGTAATAGACCAAGAAGAGTAAAGTGTTCGCAGAAGTATCAAAGCCCGCCAATAATGAACTCAGAACCACATCTACAATTTCCTCATTTTTCAAAGGCTCTCCTCCATCTGATTCAGATGCCCTTAGAAGCTTAGCCAAAAGGTCGTCGTATTGAGGCCCCGAGCTTCTCTTTCTTTCGTCGATGACCGTCTCCACCATCGTCTTCAGATGCTTCCTGGCCTGACATATTAGATTGATCATAAGCACTCGTCAATTTTTTTCAAGCCCGAGCTTGTTCTCACGAGGGCATTATAGAATTTCTATATCTATGTCAATGAGGGTAAGAAACTGAGAACACACAACATTCGCTCTCTTCCACACCCACAGAGACAGAGAGAGAGAGAGAGAGAGATTTAAGTTATGTAAAGGTTGGCCTATGGAAACACAAAATATTAAAATTTGAAACCCTTGTCCCAAAATGACACAGCAACTTGCGCCTGACACGGTTAATACTTTTTCTACCTCTTCGTGCATGACACCTAATGAAATGATGAAATAGATATATACGACAAGTACCTGCACTGCCTTTCTAAAGGCTGTTCCTGGCAGATCGATTGGCAAGGCCCTAGCTCCCGCCCTCAGTTGCAAAAATCGATTACGGAAGACCTCAGATCTTTCGTCACGATCCTGACCCATATCAATTATGGCGTTCATCGCAACGTAGAAGGTATACTGCAAGAAGATCGAGAAGGTTGTTATTGGCCTATCTCCAAGGCCAACAGTCCTCGGCATACCGTGTGTGAATTTCCACTTTCGAATTGGTTCATCATGATCCTCGTCGGATGACTATAGATTTCAGTAATACTCTCCAAAGATATGAGATAGCTGGATACCAGGAATATAAACACAGTCTATTTGCGAAGCGTCAATTTTTATTTTCTTCTAAGAGAGCTGGTTGAGGATACCATTAACTTTTCGAGGATGATAAAACTCAGTTCAGGACTGGTGTGACTAGCAGACCACTCATTGGACTTTCGTTTAGAGTCCACATTGAAGATTTAAAGATTCTGATCACTTCTCCAGAAAACGTGCTAGACTCTCTTGCATGTTCTGAGGATGCTATTAATACCATTCAGTTTTTCCAAAAAACCACTGTAATATATCAAAATGGAGCTTGAAGCTGGAGAGATCAGTGTTACCTCTCTTGCATCGTCGGCGACTATAACTTTCCGGCCCTTCCAAGTCTTCAAAATGGACGTGGCGGAAGCTTGAATACTACCTGTCTTGTGCTTCAAGACTTCAGGTGAGAAGACAGACAACACTAGCCGTCTCATTCGTTTGTGCCTATCACCTCTCAGCATGAGGAGAGCATTTTCACCAACCGCCATGGAGATACTTTTCGGCAAAGTTGAAGTGAAAAGAGGTTCTTCTTTGGTAAGAATGAATTTGTTCATGTCAGGATCAGTTGAGGCAAGCAAAGGAGTTCCGAAGAGATGGGTCAGAAACAAATCTCCGTATCTGCAGATAAACAACGGTGGAAAGTCAGAACCTGATACAGCATGAATTAGTGCGAAAAAAGAAAAACAAAACAAAACTTGGCACAAAACACGTGGGAATTTAAAATTTCTTTTCACAGGAAAAGACGAGGATTGAAAGTTAAAAATTCATGAGGACCCTATGTGCATGAGAATTCTTGAGACCCAGGTACTGTTTCACAAGGATTAATAAATTGACCTCTCCACCACAACAAGATGGTGGGGAATATCAGGTAACAGAATACGTGCAATGTCTCTATTTCTCCGAACATTTCCGAATCTGTATGTGTCATGTACGCTTTCCACGTGTACTCACAAATATCAACATGTCTCTGATGGATCACAGATGATAAATAAGCAGAAAAAAGATCAACATCCAACAGTCATGACTGCTCTGATTTCTACACGTACTGAGCGGATGATTATCCGCTGCGATACGGAACGACGGGAGCTTCCAGCAAAAGTCAATACTGCCTGAAAACGAAGGCTGTATGGGGTTGTTAAGCTTCAACGAATTGAACGTACCCAAACAGGCAAGAAGGTAAAACGAAGAGAAAGATGATCATCAAAATATCTGAAACACAAAAAATTTGTGTTGGGTGCGTCGAAAGCTGGAAAGAATGACACTGCGAATCTGTTGAATTACTTGGCCACCGTCTAATCAAAAATCGGGACGCGAGTACTGAGCTTCAATCCAAGAGCACAGGTCAAGGGATGATCTAAGACACAAGGCATTGTGAGCGAAGAAAATCATCCTGTCACATGCATTGTTCGTGTGCAGATTTGAAGACCTGCGACGGCGCTCGTCGACGAATGAGTGAGGTGTTGTGGACATGAGACAGTGCTGGAAAGCGAACGTTTCCCCAACTAAAGGCCATCCCAAGCTGCCCTTCGGTAATTTTCTGTAACGCTTGCGCAACGCCGGTGTCAAACGCAGCCACTTCAGCCCAGCTGCTCCATACGTGAACAAGACTGCAACGAAGAAAATGATCGCTCCTCCTTCGAGAAGAATGCCCCATTGCGACATCCTCCTTCCCTTCCTCGCTGAGGCTGAAGACTCTTCCTCTCTGAACCTGTTAGATTGTTCAGATTACCTTCTTTGCATGCTCCTCTAGACCGAGTAATGTGAGGAGATCATATTGATGAATGGATGACTTGTCAGTCAGTATTGGGTTTTTGGCGTTCGTGAGTTTCTGTGTGTGTGTGTGTACAACAACAAGTTCGGCGTACTATATAGCGCCAGTGATGAGAGGATTGAAGAGAAGAGCAGCATCGGAAAGAGAGAAAAGGGACTGGAAATCGGCAACGGAATAGGCACGTGCATATTTCGATCATAGGGCTCGTGCTAGATAGAAAAGGACAATTGCACGGCGCTTTCTGCGCGTAAGTACGCGCGCTTTCTTTGGCCTTCAGGCAGCTCAGGGAGTCTTCCCTTGACGTTGCGGCTCGTCGGTGGTGGTCGTGGTGACGAAGCTACGAAGAGGAGCTCCATCTCCTACTTGATCACGACTAACAGGTCTACTATAGTAACAGTGGTAGAATAACAGACGCCCATTCACCTTTTCACACTCCTTTCACTTCTTTATTAATTTCTACCATCACATCAAACGCCACTCACAATACTTCTCTATTAATTTTTACCATCACATCAAACGCCACTCACAATACTTCTCTACTCCCGTGTCTGTACATCTCACTCAATACATGCAGTCAGTCGCTTCCCTTTTTTTTCCTCCTGCCCCGAAATCCTCATAGTTTAACCTATCTTTACATACTGTATCATTTATGCCGGGAGCTCATGGTGACAAGAATGAAGAACTTGCTGTGACCAGGGCCTGCTCCTTCTTGTTGGAAGAAGGGACTCATCTACAGCTGATTGGATCCTAGACTGGCGGTATTAGAAGTATTAATGGTGATGATGGTGCAGCAGTTGTTCTGTTGTAGCATATGTGGTTGCATCGAGTGTAAGGCTTCAGAGTTACAACTAGAGAAACATGCATGGAGAGTTGGTGGGCAAAATACATGTTCTGTTCTCAATCCTTTTGTGGGGAGGGCAGATTTGCTACTAACGGTAGTCCTGGTGATGCGTACTGATTGAAAGCAAGTCAGGCAAGAGCAGCAGTAGTTCACGTCTCACGAAGCATCTTTGGTGGTGACGCGCGACCCTCGCCGCGAAAGGCTGGATTATGCAGGATATGTGCAACGACATTCATCTGCCACTCTCAAGGCTTCTTAGGATTGTGTTTTTTTACCCCTTGAGTTTTTATCCTGTCGAATACTATGTATGTATGTATATTCTATTGTGACAAGGCTTTGGCCTAACACGCTATGGTAATAGGCGCATAATATGCCCTTGCAAGAATGGGGAAGAGGATTCTAACTACAACAATGCATTAATACCATAAGTACTGCTGTCATATCATCATTACATGTACCCATTATATAATATGCACTGCATGATGAACTGAGACACTTCAAAATCCCTTCACTGCCGCTTTGATACGAAACAGTAATCATCACATGCCAGACCCCAAGGTATGTGTGAATGGCCTTCGAGAATATACTTAAATCGTCTCTAGAGTCTCAGGGTATGTGCACACCAGCAAGTTGTGAGTAGAAATGGTGTGTTTGTTCTGTATTGTTATTGTAAGGTTGATATCGATTTTCATCGAAATTTAGACAAATATACAACAGGAATAAGATTTCTAAAATCTAGGGGGTTTTGAGTTTCTCACTCAGCAGGAGAAGGGTGATGTTGGAAGATCTGAATATGGATGTGAGAGGTCCCGTGCTACCCGTATGGAAACTGCTTGAAAATCGTAAGAATGTCGTGGGATTCCATCACTGGCTATTGAAGTAAACTGAGTGAACTCTCGGTCTCAGTGTTCTCTTTCCGACGTCACAGAAGTACAAAAACTGCCCAGTACATATCCTTTTTCGCCATTGCGCAAGACATCATGAGATGGTACCACTGTAGGAGGCCTTGGCCACGAAAGTGACAAATTTCTAAGCCCCTATCGGACCAAATCCCCGGGCTGGACCCGACCAGCGTCCAGCGTCGCCTGAGGAAGTCCGGCCCGGAGTAAGACTCAGAGATTTCAGCGGGCAGTTTCACCATCTCATTGTGGTAAATGCGAAATCTCGATACCATGTGTCTATCAGAACGCGACGCTGCCCGCCGCAGGCTGAGACTCCGAAGTCGGGACACGAGAGCACGAGACCATGTTTTGCGTCTCGCGGTTTGCGGCATCGAGGGTTGACAGACACCTGGACAAGACACTCGTGGGCGAAAAGCGCTCTCGAGGTTCTGAACCGGTACCCGGTTCGGTCCGCAGGGAGGTCTTGGCTTTCAAACACAGCCACATGACCGGAGAGGCGGGTCGGACAACGTCTGAAACATGCACCCCTCGTTAACAACTGCCGGGCGAGTGAAATGTCGGAAGGAAGGAAGAAAGTACAGTAGTCGTAACGGTTGTCGCAGGTGAAAGTTGTGGAGGCGAGCACAAAGCGAACTGGAACACGTCCGTCCCGGGAGAGAGGGAGGGTAGACACGGGCGCCATTACACAATCTGACCGGAGGTTGGTTGGGGTTGGGTTGGGTTAGGTTGCGCTGACAGCAGAGTACAGACAGTGTGTCAGATCGGCGAGATCCACCCGTCCATCCAAACCAAACCAAACCAAACCAAACTTCTCCTTTCTTGCTCCACCTCATCCAACGACCCATCCCCTTCCCGCTTCGCCTGTCCTATCAAGAGTCGGCTCTTATTTTGAGTGAGTGAGTGAATATAGCGCGATGAACATCTCCCCGCGTCACTGTTCGACACGCACTTCAAGCCGACAGATCACAGCACACTCTTTCTTGTGTTTCTACAGTGCAGTATGTTTAAGAATCCTCGTCCAGTCCCCCGCCCCGCCCCCGCTTTGCCAATCAGAAGATTATCCTTCTCTGCCATAAAAAAAAACACCACCTCCTGTAGCGGCGAGTGGGAACCAAGTCACGCAGGAATGGGATGTGAGAAATTCGACGACCCTGGTGTTGCGACCGGTTGTAGCCTTCGCATAGCTTTCTCTCTCGAACGAATCACCGGTCCTCGCTTGTCGTTGCGCCCTCCTAGCATTTTTATAAGCTCGGTTGTCTTGCACCCTGGCCGGCCTTTGGGCCTGCTAGTCCTGTTTTCTCTCTCGGCGGATGAGGGTACACGATTCCACTACGGTTGCTCATTCCAGACGAGCTAGACCTCGATCTTTTTCTCGGGTTGCTTTTGATCGATTCGAATTTAAATATTCCCCGACGAAGAAGAATGATCCTGGTGCGGGTCGTTTTAATCCGCAATGACCAAGAGATTCTTCGGTTCTACGCCGACGGAGACATCCTTCTCAAGCGGACCGGCGAGGGAGGATCGTGCCGGAGAATGTGCCCAAAGCTTCCAGAATAACGGAGAATAGCTGCGGTCTTGTCTAGGCTATCGTAGTCTGCGACAGCATGTCCTCACAAATTCTACCGAGCCGAACTATTCGTCCGGTCTTGCTGATGGTTCGAAAGATTTCGAAAAGCAGTTCGGTACCTCCAGCAGTACGTCCTGACTGTTGCAGCTAGGTTTCGAACTCCTCTACTCTTCCAGCCCCGGAAAGAGGGGCTGCAGAAGCAGAGGCAGCACTAGGCTTTGTCCACGGCGCAGGACTCTCTCTTGCTTTTCCAGCATCTGCCGCAGGCTTTCCACGTCCTGCAGACTTTTGCCATTCCTTCCTCATTGTTCCGGCATCTGCCGCAGAATTTCCAGGTCCTGCGGACTTTTGCTACTCCCTTCCATTTCGTCCTCCATCTGTCCAGGCTGCCGTCTCGGCTACACTCGGGCTTGGCTGCCAGTCCCGCGCCTCTACGCTAAAGGCATTCTCTATAGGCATGGGTTTGTCGTTTGCCTCGTGGAGTCATGCTCACACTTTGTGATCTTCGTTGTTGTAATGCCGTGATGTGATTCCGATCACATCACGGTATGCCAGATCCCATCAGTGTAAGTCAACTTGTCAAACCAAAAGTCATGCCCATTCTAACCGAGCGGCACCAATGCCATCCCCACACGCAATCTGAAGTTTTTCTCCTCGCAAACGTAAGCACCAGGAGGGAGGAGGATAGAGAATTGGGATGTTTGGCCTTAACAGCGACGGCCTCTCTAGTAGACGACTTGGTTCATTGTATTCTGTTCAATCAGACTATTATCGTGCGTCGCGGCGGAGCGACGTTCAAAGTTTAGAGTTGGCATCCCTCGCAAATCCTCCAACAAACTTCTAAAATGTTTGCAATGATTTTCTCCTCATACCACCCTCTTCCAATCCTCTTGTAGGTCTGATCATATGAATGCAATGATGACCGCGCTCGGAACCACAAGTAGCCAAGAGCACCGGCGTAGGAATTCCAGTTACCGAGTTCCCTTTCTTCCTCATTTCTGGTCGTCGACAATTCCGAACATTCAGTCAAAACTCGACATAAGGATACGATCGGGTTCGTGAGATTATAAGGATATGCGGAGGTTTCCTTATATTAATGATTGCCTATTTAGACGTGAAAAAGTTGTGGAGCGTGGTCTGAATAGGGTTAGAGGTCTTGTAACAATCCATCTCGATCTCATCTAAAGCACGCACATTGCAAATGTTACCTTTCTACAACTTCCGAAATTTGATTTTCTCCATACACCATAATGCTTTCATCGTAGTTATAATTTCGTCATTGGAAATCTCATCATTTACCTTGTCATCCACGCTATAATGTTCAATCATTTTAACCAATGTGTCTTCTCGTACATTGTGTTGATTGTGTTGTTGTTGATTTAAATATAAGGATACGCTTCGATATCAAAATAGATGAGATGGAATAATTGGGACTGTGAATCACTAAGAATATCCTTACGGCCAAGGTATCTTTATTTTGCCGCCTAAAATCTGGGGCTTATCTACGAGGCTAACCTTATAAGGAGTATCCTTATAACGAATTTTGACTATAACAAGAGCACGTACAAAATTATCTACTCCACATTTTCGTGTAAATTGAATAATCAATCAATGAATTGAAAGAAGGCACGATATAGTAAGTGAAATCAAATCTCCTTTAACATGTCTTATGGTTGCATTCTCTTATTCTTTGTAGACGAAATAAATGAGAAAATCGAGTGATATAGCAAAAAGATGGGAAATCCTATCAAGCCATATCCAGACATGAAACGACACGCGTAGAATGGGTCCAGCCCAATTAGCATCACAGGGGAAAATATGTCCTTTGCAAACAAGTACATACTGTTTTAGTGAAAGTGTCTAACCAGCAACATTAGCATTCCAAACATCATCACTTAATTTTATTGCTCTGCTGTGGTTTGCATTTTTTGTTTGGTTTTGAATATAGATGTAACATGGTACAGTAGACTCTCGCGAACCTGTTAAAATGTAAATGTATAGTTTAATATACCTTCATATCGAAATTCGACAAAAATTTGAATTATCTACGTCTCTCTATATTTTTACATTTTGATTGATGCCATTTCACTCAAGGCCAATCTACATGGTGTAATTATTTGCTCTAAAGTAGAAATAGATTTGGCACATCGAGTTAATTTTTAAGCGAAGCAACCTTGTCTCCACAAAGATATACACTGTTTTGAACAATTAAGATCACCAAATATTTGTCTACATCATGGATAGCTAACATCTAACCTTTGTGTGCCAAGGAATCATACGTCGCAACTAAAATTGATTAACATTTATCTATGAGTAATGAAATGCAAATGAAGCAAGCAAAATACTAAAAGCTCTACAAAATATAGTACCAGAGGTTTTACAAAATTGATACTTTAAAAAAATTACTCCAACTGCTCCAATTTCTGAATGTGTGTGCTTGCAGATTTATGGATACTGAAACCTACATGCACATTGTCGAGCTTATAAAATCTTTAATTCATAAATATATTCGAATAAGGATTTATTTACATATTTTTTTCATATTTGGTTTTATTTTTTCATTTAAATCATGGAATTCATTTTATTTTGAATATTTTCTTGTAATAATTTTTTTATTCAAATAGAACATCTATATTCTTTAATACTTGTATACATGATTGTGTTTAATGTACTTGAATGGTTCAGTGAAAATTTATTTCACAAATAATTATTTCCTTAAATTAATTAAATTTTTTTAAAAATAAAATTTTAAAATTCATTTTAAAATTGTTATAGAAAAGACCAAATATTTATTTTATTTACTATTGATGAAGTTATAGATTTTTGGATGAATTGGAATAATTTAGCAAAATTTCATTCATAAGACTGATGAAGAACGTAAAATCTCATCAGAGATTTCTAGTGGAATTTATAAAATTGTAATTTAGTTATATTTACTCGCTGAACTATTCATTTCACGCTTATGTGATCATTGTTTCATTTTTTCTATCAAATTTAAACAGAATATCATTGCCTTTGAATGATCAAATCTAAATTTATAAGTCTATCGGTGCAGCACTAATAGATTTAGAGATCAGAATCAATATCATTGATGCCCAAAATAGCAAAATAATAATAATAAAAATAATAATAATTCACATTTGGTTCGTAATTGAAAAATTATGAATGTGATGTTTATATGTCAGATTAAAAGAAGTGCTTAAAAAATAAAAAAAACTATTTGATATTAATAAGTTGTTTACAGATTTTCAACATCAATATCTCGAGCTGGTATATTTTACCGTTATGTATCTGGATCATCTATAAATTTTCAAATCTATATGTAAAATTATTAATAAGTTGAACCAATTTCAAGTTTGTGACATATTTATATGTTAAAATTTTTTTGGTAGTAATTAGATACTTGATTAGTAGATTCATATCTTAGATTAGGAAAAATTGAATCTGCAGAAAAATTATTATTCAATGTGGAAATTATTTTATATGAATATTAAATATACATGACATTTTATTTATTGAAAAGAAATAAGATTCTATTTTGTTTAAAAAACTAAAATTTTTGATTTTGAATGTACAAAATATGCATGCAACACAAGGCAATTAATGCATTATACGTGCGAAAAATCTTCAATATATATTATGACATTAAAATGTGATGTGCATTTTTTAAAGTCATAAAAAATATTTCTCAGAATGAATTCTCTAATATCATTTCAAGATATCAATTAGTTGGATGGATTATCAAACATTATTTTAATTTTTTTTGTCTCAAAACTATCACATTTGATGAGTCATCTGATAGAGTCACTAAGTGAAATCTATTGGATGTTTTTTTAAATCATAAATCATATGGATAAATTTCATTGTTGATTCATAATAAATCCAGAGGAAATAACCAAATTATTTGCTTGATAATATACTTGTATTTTTAAGTTGCATGGTAGTAACATGTACTTCAAATATTACATGATTTAGTTTCACATTAATTACTCTTTTAACTGAAATCATCTGAAAAATTCTACAGAAGCAAAACTTTCCAATATGCTTTCACGTTATATGTGCTAAATAGATCATATGTATGTATGATGATTGACACATAATGATAAATCACAAAGATATTATTTCTCTCTAATTATTATCTAGCATGCTTTGGTTTTTTGTCAAATTTTATGTGATTTCTTATTAATTTTATATCCATAAGTTTTTCGTTTCAGATTTCTCAACGTGCAGATCTAGCTTTCAACATGCTTTGGAGATGTCTATATCTTCTTCAAGTTGTAAATACAGAAGGTTCTTCCTTCAATACGCATTATTTTTCAAAAAAAATAGAGATCACATATATTGAGTTCAACATGTCATGAATTATAATTTTGGCACAAATTAGTCTTGCGTTTTTCTTTTAGCATGGCATTCTAGACCTTACTTTGAAATATTTGAAACAACTTTCTCATATCATCACATTTTTCTTCAAACCCTTCTTGAATTTTGAAGAAAAGCAGCTAATATTTTATATCAACAACTTACTTGTAAAGTGACATAAATTCCTTAAATACCACTGTGTTTTCTAGATCCTCATTTGACTCCTGAGAGGTAAGAATGTTATCATCATTATCATTGTCTAAGTTCTCTTTGACAATCTTCATTGTCTTTAAAAGTTCTTCAACGTCTTTTAAAATTCAACTGCAAAATCTTTATCTGTTCGATCGTCAACTCGAACAAATTATCCAAGTTCTCTTTGTCTAACAAAAAGAATTAAAGCTGCAATTACTTATGCAAATTTGATCACTTAATATTTCATCTTGTTCTCTATGTCTAGATCCGCTTCTAATGTGATTATTTTTGTCTTCACAAATGCAATTTTTTGTAGAGGTTGATGACATGGATTTTTAAGATTTTTCGACATATCTCACATCATCTGCTCGATGGTGGGAGATATGTCAAAGAATCGAGAAGATGAGTTGGATTTTGTAGACAATTATGCAGCACCGCGTTTTACTAATAGTAATTGTTTAGGATTCAATTCAGATTTGCTCCGACTTGTTTCACACCTTTCTTATAGCTCTTTCACTAATATACTACTCGCGTGCTCTAGCTTTTTTCTTGGGAGCATCCGTCTTTCTCAGTTCTTCTATGATATCACATCCTTGGGATTCATTGAAGCATTTCTTGTTCGATTTTTTTTGACATTCTAAGAGTGATTTTTCTAATGTACGCACCTACCGGTTCAATATGCACGATACTTCCAGGTTCAAGTTGAGTACTTAGGAGACTACTACACACACAATAACATATGCAACTACATCCTCTCACCTGTCATAACCAAATCAGGCCGTAGACTCGAAATTACAACAAGATGTGTACTTCTTAGAAAACTACCTCCTCCTCTGCCTTTGGACCATTTCTGGTAGCATCTCACAGTAATGTATTTCATGAATTAAAATTGATTCTTACATATTATTTTTTAAAAGTGATAAAAAAATCATTGTATATCATTTACATATTGTATATCATCAAACTTACAAGAAATAAATCATCTCTTGTAAATATTTCGATTTACATTTCTTTGAATATGCTAATAGGATCCTTAATTTTTTTAAATCATTCTTAGAAAGAAATCATCTCTTGTAAATATTTCAATTTACAGTTCTTTAAATATCCTAATAAGATCCTCAATGTTTTTTCAATATCTTTTCTAAAACTTAGTGAGAGAAACGAATTATGTCAAGGTTTTGGTTCATATGGCAACTATTAACTAGATTCATATTGCCTTAAATATCAATTTTTTAATATTTCTGCTATTACGAAAATAGATTGTTTTAATTATTTGCCTTTTATGCTTTGACTTTCAGTGCTTAGATGAAAATTATTTAGATTCAAAATTCAAAATTTCTTTTAGAATTTAAAAAAGTACAATTCACGCTAGAAAGCAATTCATGTCTTAATCATCATAACGTTGCCATTTAAAAACTTAAAATAAACAATA